CACAGCAGCAGCTTTACCTTAACAAAAGCTTAACTGTAAAAATATGAAGGCCCTTAAAATACTATATTATAATACCTTACAGATAAATTTCAAACTGTCTGAGAATGATAATATACAAAGTATCATACTGCCTAATTTTAAAGCATCAATTTAGAAACAGTTAACAACCCTACCATCATCATTTTGTGATTAAGAAGATATTCTTTACTGGCTATCCTTTGATAAGATAAATAGAAATGTATGTTAATGTTGGTATATGAAAATGGTTTAATGCTGTTTTTGGAGGGAGCACTAAATCAAAAGCACTACAGCTTGCTATCAATAACGGTGTAATCGTGTTAGTTGTTCATGTTAGCAAAAAGAAAGACAATCATCAAGATGACTGAAATAGGGAAGACTGTAATAACCCTCTGGGGAATGAGGTAATGCCTCTCATCAGGGAGCTTGATTTCCATTTGTTCGGTAATGCTTGCATAATATTTATTTTTAGTTCTTTTTAGATTCTGACATCTTTTTAAAAGATCCAGTCTGTAGAGATCTCATGGTAATATTATGAATATAGAAGAAAAGGAAGGGATGTCTTTGCTAGATATAGCTTGGTAGCTTCAGTAGACCAATACACAGGAGAATTGATAGCCAGAAGAGGTTACATCAAGAGAAGAGAGTTCCTCACAACTAAAAGTCCACACATATAATAAAATCTGCAATGGAAACTCACACTCTCTGTTACAGCTGAAGCAATATTGCTTTCTTTTTGAACTGTAGCAGCACTTGGAGTTTGAGGTCTTCAGACATGACAAAATGATTGATTATTGCAGTAAAATGGCTTTAGGTTCTGTATTTGTATGAGGATTTTTTCCTGTTTTCTTTTTCTTTTTTTTGCTTTACTGTTCTTTTCCTGTTCAATACTGCTATTGACCTTATTAATAAAGATCTTAAAATGAGTTCAAAACAACATAGTAAAAGGAAAAAGATATAGTTCATATCTGAGGGCTTTTGGGCAATAGTTGCAGAAGTAAGAAATGTTCATTCTGCACTTCAGACTGCATCTGAGAGCAAACCAGCATAGTGATTTTGCTTAACTTTAATTTAGGAGAGACCACTTTCCTTGATTTTCTAGTCCCAACAATAGATTTGGATGGGGGAGAAAAAGATGCTGAAAATACAATTTAATTCAAATAGCATTTTTTTTTTCTTTATTGGAATTGGTTAGAAGCCATTGAGATTAACCTCACCTAATAATCTGAGAGCCTTCTATAAAACTGATAAGAATATGAGTGTTCCTATGTCATCTCTTGCTTTAATTCTTTAAGAAAACAGAACACATTTCATTTGTATACTCACCTTCTCTCGGTCATATAAGGAGTATGGATGATTTAAAATTTGATCCAATTTGAAATTTATGTTTTGGATTAAAAGACCTGCAAATGCAACAGTTCTTCCAAATTCCTTCTGACTAGTTAAATAGTAGCTATTTATTAAACTATCTTGGTTCTGTTATCATCTTGCTTATATTTCTGTGTAAAATTTTTATGTTGTCTTTTGATTACAGTTTTATAGCTGGAAATTTTGCAGTTTCATCAAGTGCAAAACTTAATAAAGATATTTGTGAACCTCAGATACACAGATCTGACATGTTTCAATACAGCTTCCCTGCCTTAAGGATGCAGAAATGATCATCGGTTCAGCTCTCTGAGCTTTGTAGCATTGGACTGGGTTCAACAGACATTGGCAAAATAATATTTTTCATTTCATATAGCATTTCCTAGGAACAGACCACTTTAACAATACATTTAGATCTCGGGACCGCTAGCATCTTCCATGATGTAGCATCTTACACAAGACGTTTTATAGGTAGGATTATTTGAAATAATGTTTTATTTAAGAATCCTCAAGCAATTTGGGGTGTATTTATAGACCGTTGTTAGTAGTAGTGAGCAGTAACCGTTGCTGAAGAGTAACTCATGCCAAATGGAGAAAGCTGCTACTAGACATAGAATTAGAGAATATACTAGTCAATTATTATTTTCTATTCTTTTGATTATTATTTTCTATTCTTTTGCTGACAGTTTTAAGCCTGTAATGCAGCCCCAGCAATATCTGTATCACCTATAGCGTACAATGACTGTAACTGCAGATGAAGGGGGGGAAAATGCTCAAGGTGAAATGCCTGAAGCAAGAGTCTTAGAATCATTAAGTCTATTTGAGTGAAGAGCCATCTAACTTTTAGTACTATTGATTTAACAGTGAATGAGATAAACAGGAAGACACAGGAAAAGATGGATGTTAGATCAAGGTTCTTTATTCAAAGGTGAAATATAATACAGTTTATTCAACTATGGAAGTTTGTCATTGCAAATAGAATAAATCTCATCGTTGGTTACTGCTGGTAAAAAACACCATTTATAATTGAATTCCTGCTTTTACCAGCGGAACCAGAATGAAATGGCATTTCATCAAAGCTGAATATCACTAAAATTTCTTTAAAAGAAAACTCATTACAGCCAATATGGCTTTTTCCACCTAATATCATGTTCACTTCAGCAAGATGTCAGGAAACCTAGCTTTCACATTATATGCTGTCCCGGGGTTCCTGGAGACCTTTTAAACACTGCAATATTTAGACTTGATATCATGCCAAATCTCCCAGCACAGAACATTACTCTTAAAAACTTTTCATTTCCGAATCCTCTTATTTTACAACTTAAATTATGAGAAAAATTTCACTGCTCAAAAGAGAAAAGCTAGTAAAATGTATTTTTGTTAACAATGAACTTTTCAACCTCTGTTTTAAGCAAGTAGAAGCAGTGGGGGATTTTGAACAGATTGCTAAGGACCCTAAAATCTATCCAGACAAAGGAAAATTCAGACTGACCAATAGCAGTACCTTTGTCTTGCTGTGATGTCACACAACAGCAAAAAGATAAATTAATTTCATATTCAATCTATTTCTATTGAAAAGCAAAAATGTATATTTTCTTCTTCTTATCTACACATATCTGTGAATATTTATTTGAGAAACAAAGTTCCAACTTCTTTCTCTTGAGCCAGCGTACCATAATAGCGGTAAAATAAGTGCTTAAATTTATTGCATGGGAATAAGCAATACAGCATTTAAAGCTCTGTATTATATTATGAATATGAAACAATCATCAGTCCCCATCTTCTTGTGGTATGTGTCTAGAAAACTAACAAGAACAAGTTGGATACATTTCTTCTCTGTCTTCTTTTTGTTCCCTTGTTTTGCATTTTTTTTCTGTACTCCTTGGTTTTACCTCCCTCAGTCTAAATAAGCCAAGAAATAAACTCAATTGAGAGCAAAAGCCAGGTTTCAGGGGACTAAGTCCAATTTGTATTATAAATTGTTCTGATGTGAAGCACATTGGCTGCAATTTTCAGACAACTACAAGAAGCTTGAAGTAAACTTGATTGTTGCTATTGCTTAATATTTCCTTCATTTTTTTGAAAATGCATCAGATGAGACAAAATTTACAAGTAGTGGTTCCCTTGCACAGCTCTCACATACTAGGAAAAACACTTGGTGGGGATCTATAGGTGTTAAGAACTGCTTCATTTTGCTGTCAACTAGTGTCTTTAAGGCATAAACAGAAAGCAGTTTTTTGACCCTTAAAATCTTAAAAGATTATGTTGAAGAGCGTGAAATTGCTCAATCTTGAACAAGGTGATCCCAAACTACTTAAAAGCTAAAGAACAGGCAAATAAAACCATAGAGCTGCTGATAAGGTATTTCTCCTTCCAGTCATAATCTCATTTCAGTATAATTTTTTCACTGTATTTATTTTTGATTTTTTTTTTCTAAACAGCACTCTTCTTAATGACAAATGGGAGAAAAAAATAAGATGTCATAGGTTAAAAATCTCTCTTGACTTTGTCACTTGCCCAAATGGGTAATAACTGAAGGCTGTCACCATCTAATGCTTGTTCATTGGTTTGTGAGAAATGGTGATCTGAATCCTCTAGGATTTTGAAGAGCACTTCCAGCACAGATGGTAACAATTAGCATCATTGCTGACACTCTCACTAACTAGGCCAACTGTTGAATGGACAAAAAGTTAATTTACTTCCTTAACTTTAGAGGTTTTTTTCCTTCATGTCAGAATTCTGCCAGATTGGAAGAGTACCCAAAAGAAGTTTGTTTTATCTGGGGCCCACACTATACTTGATCTTTGCAACAAAGCAAACATTTCAACTTCTAGAGTTGGAAACTCATGCAGTACATACAAACAGAAACCATTTCAAACGAAATTGAAATCCTGCTTAGAGAATTTCAACAGATAATGAATCTACACTTGTAAAGGAATGATAACAACCTTTAGGCATTGACAAAAGTTGAAATGAAACTCTCGCAAAATGCAGTGCTGCCAAAATACTCCTGTAATAGCCTTCTTTGTCACACTTGTAGCTGTAAAATGACTATAGCTTGAATGAAATTTGTCTATGTCTGAAAGTTTTCCACTGCAAAACTCCATGCAGGGATAGCTGTAAAGGACATTCATAGATCCTTCTGTAACTTGTTGATTGCTCTTTTCTTTAAACATTTTCCTGTGAATGTAGACCCTTGTGTAATGAATTTAAGTCAGTTATGATAGGCTTGTTTCTCTCTCTTATCCAAGATATCTAGGAAAAAAACACTGCATCTCCAAGAGGGGTTTTGCATTGGTTGTGAACAGGCTGGCAAGGTTACCCTGAGATGGATTAGGGAATTTGATGATATATATAAATATGCAGATTTTACAGCCTAATAGGTCACTTAAGTCTTGAGAGAGGGAACAAGAATCAATCTACTCTATAAAATTCCAGTAATTTTGTGGGACCTAGTAGAGATCATGAAATTCAAAGTTCACTGTACCCTAGGACCAAGTAATTAAAGCTCAACTCTCCAAGCTACTCTGCAGTACTTTTTATTTTTGTCATGGTACTTGCTTAGTTTACAGAAAGCAGGTATTGTGCTCTGATTATTGCTCTATTTCTTGTTCTAGGTTCTATCCTTAGGAGCTGATGTGCTACCAGAATATAAACTCCAGACACCTCGCATCAACAAGTTTACTATATTGCACTATAGCCCTTTCAAAGCTGTCTGGGACTGGCTTATTTTGTTGCTGGTAATATACACGGCCATATTCACCCCTTACTCTGCTGCTTTCCTCCTGAATGACAGTGAAGAACGGAAGAGAAGAGAGTGTGGATATTCTTGCAGCCCACTGAATGTGGTAGACTTAATTGTGGATATTATGTTTATCATTGACATTCTAATAAACTTCAGAACGACATATGTAAATCAAAATGAAGAAGTGGTAAGTGACCCAGCAAAAATAGCAATTCACTACTTCAAAGGCTGGTTCCTAATTGACATGGTTGCTGCAATACCTTTTGACCTGCTCATTTTTGGCTCTGGCTCTGAAGAGGTAAGCTTAAATAAATGAGAAGTCTTTCAGTCTAGGTTTGATTTTAATATGCTAATCTGATATATCCAAATATAATTTCTCTTGTCAATTAATATATTATATAGGACTCCCATTCCATCTTTTAAAATAAAACTAAAATTAAATTATTATTAGTAAAATAATGTAGGATTTTAGCTTTCATTGACAAGAGAGTAAGTTGAAAGATTCTGCTATTATTTTCTCTTTTTACCATATTTGCTACTATCTTTATAAATAAATAAATATATATATGGTGTACTAAGGATCTGTTCCAATGCTTTTTTTAACTACATATATTCTTTTGATTAACTGCTTACTTTGTATAAACTGCCCATGATAGATGTAAGTGATGATTAGCATTAAAACAATAAAATAAATTCTCTCTCTATAAAATCTTTACATCAGAAATTTACTTGGTGTAAAACAAATTAGTTCAAGTATAATAAGCTCTACAAGTTAATATCAGTTAACAACAACATTTCAAGAAGGTGTACTTCCAAAAGAAAGAAAAAGATTATTTGGGGTTAACCTTGACAGACTGGCAGTCCAGATGACTAATGTCTTCACCCTATCCATAGGATAGGTTAACGAAATGTTCAGTGTATGCATCTGAAAATTGCCCGAAGGTATATAAAACATACACTATATTCTAGATGTCTGACCCAGTTCTGCCTCCTTCCAAAGCATTTGTATTTAATTTAAGAAAGGCTAAAGTTATAACATGTTTTTGGATGAAAACTGAAATGACAAGTAGAGATTTTTTTTGTGATGCCTAGAATACAGCAGTTAAAAAAAAAAAAAAAGCAGCAAACCTAGCAAAATATAAGGATCTGTCATTTTTCAAAGGACACAATAAATCCATTTTTTAAAAATACATTTTTTCTTGGCATATGGGAACAGAAAGTTTTGCAAGTAAGTGTGCATCTCATTAACAGAGAAAAGAAAAGCAAAAAGTACAAATTAATCAGCAAACTTAGCCTGAAACTTCCTGACCTGACTTGATCCCTGGGTATTCCAATGTAGAGAACGTTACATGTGTGGCACAACAAGAAGAAATTAAATAAGAATCAAGGCCAAAACATGTAAGGTGTGCTTTTTGAATTTAACCATGACCGTCATTCTTACAAACCTCTCTGGTTATAAAGATGCTTTAAATGGAGATGCTGAAGTGATAAGGAGTGGTACCAATTAGTAGCAAACAACCACTCCTGAAGGCTGGTTCAGTATGGCAGATAAAAGTAAACTAATTATTTGTTCCATTCAAACATAATAATTGAACAGTTTCAGTAGCTGGAAAATCTAGTTTGTTTATCTAAACAAGTTCATCATGACCAGTTCATCATGTCATCATGACTCCTCTCTCTATCATGGCATCGAACATGTCAGTTACTTTCTCTAAGCTGCAGTTTGCTTCTTACACTGCCAGCTGTAATATTTCCACAGCAAACCATTTTTGATAGTTTTGTAACAGAAAGCAAATGTAAAAGTGTTAGAATGAAGCTCCTTTTATTTAATAGCATTTTCAGTCTTGAGGGTTAGTTTTTGTGTGTGAAATGGCTCTCCTTTGTTATCTGGAGATTCTTCACATAAGATCCCCTACTAACAATTGTATTACACATTCTTTTCATTAAACAACATAAGCTCCAAAGAACTCCATGTGTGCCCACTCAGCTTTAAAAAATATTGGTATCAAACAGAGCCTAGAAAGGGCAAGAGATAATAGTCCAAATACCACTTGCAGCACCAGCCAAATGCTTCCATTTGAGCTATGCTTTGTCAGCGTTAGGAAAGCAACAATGTAAGAGTAGGTAACTTCCCAATTTCTAAATAAGGAAGTAGTATAATGTAAAATTAGCCTTTTCTGTTTAAATAGGCGCTTAGCACAAACTGATTAAGGTTGGTGGTAAGCCATTTGCTCTTTCTGTGGTGCACGTTTCCAGTATTGAGTGACACCCTGATACTTGGGGAGATAAAAAGAATGGATACGTGTATTTTGACTTTCTATTATTTGAATAGTATATTTTTAGTTATTCTGCTCAGCTGAGAAGTCTGGCTTGAATTTTAAACAAATTTAGGTGTAGTGGCACAACTCTTCAGAACAAAAAAAAATATGATGTGCAAGTGGATCACTACTGCTTAAGATTACTGGACATTTTTATGTCTGTATATTTTCATTCATTTTTTAATGAAGCCATTACCTTTTTCACTTCAAAGTCTGACACATCTCAGTCAAAAACTATGATCAGCTAATATATAGCTAAGCAGAATTTCTTGACATTCTTCTAGAATCATCCTCACTGAAACATGCAGGCGAATTAGGCCAATGGCTTCAGCAAGAAAATTTTCGTATAGAGGCTAGAAACATCAGTCAGCTAAATATGCAGAAAAGTATGAAGAGCTGCTGTTTTTACAAATAATAATGATCAAAGCTGTTTTACAAAACATAATTAATATTAGGGAAGCATTTTGTTTTCCCTTATTTATATTTTTCAAGATGAATCAAGAGAAACCTCAGCACTGCATTCTACAGTCACTTCTTCTAAGACCCTTTTGATAGGCCTTTATCTGCTGCAGCTGGAGAAGAAGTACTGTACTGCAAATGAGAAATTTTGGTTACTTGTTACAGTTTTGTCTGCAGCTTACACGAGCATTTTCCATATGATAATGCATATAACATAAAGATCTTCAAAAATGGCACAAAGCTCATAAGAGGTTATTAAGCAAATGGAATGGACAGACTGAAAGGCCAAATTCTGTCATGTATTATAGGTCTCTCTGAGAGAGAAAAAAGTAAATTGTGCTTGATGCTGTTATGTTCATATTTAATAGATGACATGGAGGTTGGTGAGGTTTTTACCAAAAAAAATAGGCCACAGGCATTTACTGAGGACCTGAGGAGGACCTAACAATAACAGGAAACTGGACAGGACCCTGGCAGAGGAAACACTGTGTAAGCAAATGCACGTTAATGCACATTGGAAGAGACAGTTTAAGCTACTCATATACATCCGTGAGTTATTTAGCTTACAAAAAGAGACAAACAATGACATTACAGAGATTTATACATTAATGATAATGGATGTCATGAAGAAAGAAAAGAAATAGACAGAACACCGTTTATGCTCTTTAGTTAATTAGCTAATACCAGCTCACTGCTAGTCTCAGTCTACAATAATAGCTTCTGAATGATACCCTCTGCAATCAGAGCGAGTTATGACCTTTTGTTTCAAATCATGCTGTTGTGAATTGCTGTCCAGCACTGCCACAGTCAGTGCAACCTCAAGCCTAAATTAAACTCACTATTAAAAAGAGACCACTAATCAGAGTTAAGGAAAACCTATTATAGTAGGTAATAATTTTGTAAGAAAAGTTTGATGTCCTTCACTTAGAAAATGTAATATCCATGAAACCTATGTTTTACAAGGTCTTTCTTATTTTCCCAGAAGGAAAATAACTGACAAAGTTTAACCTTTCTCAAGCTTCTTGATAAGAGAACTGAAAAGATTCTTCCTAAAAAATAAAGATATCTTGTCTCTTGCTGCCTAGCTCATGGAAAGAACTATGCAGACATCAAAGATATGACTTATGGCTTATTTTTGTGCTATTATTAAAGTTAGAACATAAAAAGCCAATTATTTAAGCCAAGAAAATAGATTAGTTACTAACAGTGAAAAAAAATGAGAAGCAGTTTCAGAAGTATATAGCATCTCAGGACCCTTTGTCAAGGGGTATTCTGCTGGCAAATTTTTCAGCATTATAAATATCTACCTTTATGCAGTCAAACTCTTTAACATAATTCTATTCAGAGTCTATCTATTGAAATGATATTCTTCACAAAGTTGTTTGTTACAAAGAACAAACTGTCGCATATAGACAATCTTATGGATGAAGGAAAATGATTGCTGTCTCATTTAAGGAAATTTCATTTTCAAGATATTATTGAAGCAATTATTCCTACTAATTTTTTTTTCTTTTTTCTTTTATGATGCTTGTGTTATTTTCTCACTTCTCAATATGTGTTGTTCAAGACTTTGTATTTTACAGTTCTTCTGAAATTATCACTTTTGATTAAGGTGGGCTGTTGCTCTGTGAAAGCTGCATCTACACTGGGAAGTGGAAGGCATGTAAAATGCATACTAGATCCTACAGGTCATGATTTCCCTCTCTACTGCCAACTGTATCTTAGGGCCAAAGTATCTCCACTCTGTTAAAGAAAAGCCCAAATCATGATTTTTGCTGGAGCACTCATTTAAAGTATATTTAGTTTCTCTCATGACCATCTCACCCTGGAGAACTGGGGTTTGCTTATATTACAGAGCTCCAGCATACTCTAGAATTCACACTAATCCACTATGAAAGTGTGGGATTGACAGCAAGGATGTGAAATATTAGCAAATCTTAGCTCAAGAATGGGGTGGTACACTGCTGACACACCTTGGAATCACAGTCTACCTTCTTATTTAAGGGGCACTGTAACAATATTGTGCTTAGTGTTGAAATATGACTACGTCCATAATAGAGTGGTTCCAAATTCTTCTAGAGTTCTTCCTCTAGAAGATTCCACTTCTCTAAAGATTGTTCTTGTCATTAAGGGGTCGTAATAGTAAAGCCTAATGTACTTTACAGAAAGTTTTACCTAAAGACAATATTCACATGCAGAAGGTCAGCAAAATATAACTTTGAAGTGGTGTCTGGAACACCATTTTTATGGTGCCTTTCTTACAAGGTACTGAGAAATTCACCATGAAATAATTCTTTGAGATGTTATTAAGCTGAATCAAATAATAATATCCTGCATGAACCTGCTGCCCGTGTACAGACATTTATATATTGTTTTTGCTTGCTAACATGTCCTACGTTATATCAGTCTATCTATGTTTTCAGGATGTATATTTGATAAGGAAAAAGACTAGAAGAAAGGTGGTGGTATCACAGGAATATTTCTACTTGTTAAAACAGTAACATTGGGCTTTGATTCGGGGCTAGCTTCTTCATTTTTGGCATCTCCCACCATCATATATAGCAGTGGCTTAATTAGTGCTATTACTCAATTATCACACTGTGTTATTGTAGTATGAGAAAATTACATGTGTTATAAATAGACTGAGTTGTCCACTGACAAATGCAACCAAGAAGGCATTGCTTTTGCTCCAAATGCTTTTTGATTTTACCCTGAAACACAGAAAATATACAAAGATTTAATAAAACATAAAAACAGTTTAGCACTTCTTGAAAGAAAGCTTTAATATGCCACATACTACCATTGCAGTGTTTTGTAAATCTAAAAAAACTCTTCTCCAGTTGTTAAGTATTATACATTATATGCATATGCTAAAGAATGGAAGAAGTGCACTAAAAATTGTCATGACATTTACTGTGCTTTACTGTATGTTCAGATTTACTGAAGGGAAAATTGGTGCTAAGCTGTCTTTGAAATAGTATAATTACTATTTATAATGTTGTTGACAATCTCTTTTACAAGGAATTAACAACAAGACTGAAACTGATTCACTGATTGATGTGAAAATTGTAAATTGACATTGCTAATTATTATTTCCTTTCCAACGAACATCTGAAACCCAATCCCCAAGGGAGCTGCTGTGGAATATGGTACAGTTCTGCTCTAAAAGCTAAAAGAATATATTCCTGTTTTCTGTCTGACTCTTTTTTTTCTTTTTTTAAATGGGGACATACTTGTATTAGTAGCTATCTATAACCCCTACATGCTCCAGGATGAAAGGTGCAAAGAGAAAATTAATCTGGAACATGATTCTTCTGACCATTACAAATAAGAAGAATATATGCAGAACAAGATACTTGTTTTGTTTGGAACATTTCTGTCCTGTTTTCCTCTCCTCTAGAACTTATATGTCAGATCATTGCAAGAAATCTCTAAGTTATGATCAAATACATTCACACAGCTTTGTTCAAACATCATAAATATTTATTAACTACTAGGCCAATCATATAATTATGAATATTTTCAATAACTTACAGGCTTGAGGGAGGCAAAACAACATTCATCTAATGGATCATTTAAATCCATAAGGAAGATTCAAGGGTCTAGATCAGATATAATATTCAAAATGCTTAGTATCAATATATCTTAATTTTAAAAGTGCATCACAATTTTCCTATTTTTATAATAAATTTGATGACTTAAGGAAAATGAAATTAAAATCACATTGAAATGTTACGCTATTGTTTTTGTTTATTCCTAAAAATTATAGTTTATTCCTAAAAATGAAATAGCTTCTTCCTGTCGACTAATTAAAAGTACATTTGCTAAGAAAGAAAATCAATTTCTAATTGTATCTTATTTTTACAGACAACAACATTAATAGGTCTTCTGAAGACTGCTAGACTGCTGCGTTTGGTGAGGGTAGCACGGAAACTGGACAGATATTCAGAATATGGTGCTGCAGTTCTGATGCTCCTCATGTGCATATTTGCACTAATTGCACACTGGCTTGCTTGCATTTGGTATGCCATTGGAAATGTAGAAAGACCTTACTTGGCTCATAAGATTGGTTGGCTGGACTCTCTGGGAGAACAATTAGGAAAGCATTACAATAAAAGTGATGCAAGCTCCGGACCATCCATCAAGGACAAATATGTTACAGCACTTTATTTTACCTTCAGCAGTCTGACAAGTGTAGGATTTGGAAATGTGTCTCCAAACACCAACTCAGAAAAAATCTTTTCCATTTGTGTCATGTTGATTGGCTGTAAGTAGTTTTATCTTATTCCTTTTTTTTTTTTTTTTTGTTCTCAGTGTTTAAGCAAATGAAATACATTGTGGTGACTCATCCAGCGTAAGATAGTCTGGGGTATTAACATTTTTTGATTAGATTGGACCAAATTAAACTGGATGCTAGACAAAAGCTACAGTTCTGCAAGGTATTTGATCATGTATCTAATTAACTGTAACTGATTTTAAATATCTTTCTCACTAGAAACAAATAAACCTGTTTGAGGTTTACCTTACATCCAATAAGTACACATCTCTTCTGTTTTCCTATTACTACAGTGGAATGAGCAGTGTGAGCAACATTGTGCAATCTTTACACTTCTTGTATCTAAAGGAATGGTCAATTCAACTGTTTTGGTGATTGGATAGAAGGTCTATGAAAGGCACAAGCTAAGTGGTAGTTGTTAAAAATAATTTTCTATACAGGATATGATAGTACAGAACTGTCTAAGATCATAATATTGCAGGACAGTGTAGGACAGAATGAACTCCTGGAGGTACAACCCATGCTCAAAGCAGAGTCGGCTTCAGAGTTAGCCTTTTTTCATGCAGTGCTTCAGAGAAAGTATTGTCTGTTGACAGAGTATTGGTAAATTGATCTAAAATGTGTAGCAATTTCTGTGTTCTTTTTTGGGGGCAAAGAATAGCTTAATTTATTGGGTACACTTATCCCTTCTGTAGGTCATATTAGCTAAAGGGAACATGGTAAGGTGCCCTAAAGACAGTCAATCCTTCATGACAAATATAGTCAGTATTTTTTTAAAGAACGAACCATTCTTTTGAATGTTTGCTTTCAGGGAATTGATGAAGCCATAGCCCATAACTTTTGAACAATTAAAGTTGTAATTTAATTATATTCTTAACTTTACCCTTAATTTTATCTTAGTTCTACTGAAGTCTGTAAAGCTAGATGAACTGAATCTGCAACACTAAATTCAGGACTACCAGTCTTCAAAGATAAATATTGTCAACTTGAATATCATTGAATAATCATTTTTTTTCATATAGCTTTGTGAAAGCCTATATGCAGAATTTAGTAATCTATGCTAGCACAATGAAATAATTAACAAGCTACAAGTCAATCAAGTCCACATCTCCTTAAAACTGTTACTAGTCTCATCAAAGCGCTTTTATGTATGAAATGCACTATAAGGACAGTTGCATCATCTGCAGAATGGAATGATACGACTTAAGTACGTTTTGTTTCTTTTTAATCCAGCATTAATGTACGCGAGTATTTTTGGAAATGTATCTGCAATAATCCAGAGGCTCTATTCGGGAACTGCACGGTATCACATGCAGATGCTGCGAGTAAAGGAGTTTATTCGCTTTCATCAAATCCCTAATCCTTTGCGGCAACGACTTGAGGAATACTTCCAGCATGCCTGGACATACACCAATGGCATTGACATGAACATGGTATGTTGTCCTATTTTTCAGGCACAAATGCTGAGGTAAAGATAAATGACTGAGAATTTAGAAAGTGGTTGTGCATCGTCAATATCTATAAGGTTTAAGAGTACAGGATTCCAAAGGAGGATATACAGTAGTTATTGAAAATCTAGGCATTTTAAGTTGGCATCCATACATTTAGGTAACTCAATTATTACAAGCTGTAACAGAATTAAATATCTGAGCTCTTACTGTGCATAGGAAAGCTTGGGAACTGCAATTGACTGTCATAAGCTTATGGAAAAGAATGAAAATGGTGGACCTATTTCAAATGTAGCTTTTACAGATTTTTGTTTGTTCTTTGGTCTGATTTTCCACTTCCAATATCAAACAAGTGTACCTTTGTTAGAATCTACAGAGTTACTCTTGTATAAAAACTGTGGAGACCAGTTCATTTTTGAAAACTCCACTACATAATTCAGAACAAGTATATTGGGAATGAATGGGAGAGAGACGCAGGCGGATGGGTTAGCTTTACAGGGAGAAATGGTCTAATCATATGGTAGTCTCAGCAGTAGCTTTCTTCCATTCATTACTCCCCAGCTCTGTACTGAAAGTCAACACAGTACTAACTAGTCACTGATCAGCAGAATCTCATTTCTAGGAAATGGCAAGATACAATATTTATATTTTCTGCTCTTCAAGCTAATTTACAGAACTTGATTTTAAAAATGTTAACAGTCCTTGTATGAAACTATGCTATAAACCATCAAAAAGGGATAATGCCATTAGTAAAAGTAAGCATCTATATTTCTCTCTTCTTTTATAAGACATCAACTTTTTATTTCTGAAGAATTAACTTAGGTTGGAAGAGAGCATAGTGCAGTTTCAGGATCTGTGAATCTGTGCTCTCTGAAGGGATACTTCTTAGAACTAATTCTAAGTTATAGATTAGAGACTTTGCAGAGAATAAAAAAGAAAAGAACAAAAAAAAAATAGTAACAACTTAACTAGAATCAATTTTCAAAATTCCGACAGCTTCCAAATCATATCTGTACATCTGCAAATGACTGCCCCAAGGACAGGCTTTTTTGCAGTGAACAGAAACAGTAGTTTTGATTTAAAACTTTTATTAATCTCAATCATCTAAACTGAATCAAAAGCTGGACTTCATGGTTACCATTAAGTAAAGCAGATCTTAAAAGTAAGACAACTTAAACATATTTGGCTTCACCTCCCACTTCCATGGATAACCTCTTCAGAGGAAAATCATACCCAGGGTAGGACAAAAGTGTTCGTGAAAACCTCTGCTGGAGATTATTTCAGTGGAAGGCAGCATCAGTGGCTTCATCCTACATGGCTCTGAATGGCTCTGATTCCCTCTGGTGACAATGGGAGTGAGAGATCCTCCGCACTTTGCAGGATCAGGCTCTTAAGCTGCAGGGGCTTGTAGTCAAAATCTGAACTAGCTCAAATTATTTCTGAAGATATTACAAAACCACATGCACTTTAACTAATTCATCTCCACTAATGGATGTACTGAGAACACCTGTTTCACATGAAAGAGAAAGTAAAATTGGATGTTGTCAGGTTAAACTTTGCATAATACAGGAATTGAAACTAGTCTTGGATTTGTCATCAATATGAAATAACAAGTAAATGGATTAAACAAAAATTCTGCAGTCTGATTGTGAGGCAGCATGGAGGCTTTGTTTTAAATAAAATATGAAAAAAAATCAAGATTAGTATCTTGTTTTGTTATATTTTATTTATTGTTTTCTCTTATTCACAATTCTGTCCCTGAAGTTTTACGGCAGTCACTTAATTTTCTTAAAATGTGAGACTGACTATGTGACACTTAGTGCAAGGATAATATGACAATTGTCTGATTTATGTTGTACTTATGAAAGATTTATCTCTTTCCTGTCTGCTTCATACCTAAATACATGGAATAACACCACCCACTGGTAAGAGCAGGAGGTATTTATATCAAATTTAATTCCAGTATAAAGTGTGGAGAATATCCATGTTATCTGTTTTGGAGCTTGTTCAATGCTTTCTAGTTTTAATTGTAACTTTTTGCATGATGAAGGGGTAGACAGCAAAGGGAAAGAATCCCAGTATAATCAGATGTGGGGCAAAATGGCTACTAAAAATTAGGTATTAACTAACCACATTTATTAGTCACTATTTTACCCCACAACTCAAGTCATGCTTCTCTGCCTCCAAAAAGGTCATGTGCATACTGGTTTGCATTAGTTAGTTGCTCTATAGGAACATCTCTCTGACAAAGCTGCCATGCCATTCTGCATTTTCCTTTGCGTGAATGCTCTTAGTTCAACCATATATGCATGTTAGCACAAGCACCAATGAAGTTTTCTTGGCTCTGCGCCATGTGCATATGAGATGGACTTGCATGTGGTATTTAGAATTTAATTTTGCATGAAATATTTTCATTTATACACCAGAGGGCTAATGCTGTCCTCAGACAAATATGTTTGACTCTAGTCAATATTTAATAGGAGTTTTGTGTAAATATCTGAAGGTAGAATTAGATCCAAAGTCTTTCTTTTTCATTTCATGACTGAAAACTGAGTAGAAATTAGAAAACTCAATCCTTTTCTCCTTTGAAATATGAAATGCATGAATAGTTTCCATTTATATATATATATGTACACATAACGTATACACACATATATATATAAATAATAGTAGAGAATGTTTCAAAAGTGGCTTTTAACTATCCATAATATGTTTTATAATTAAGGAGAAGTGAAATAAAAACCTACAACTGTTAACCTCAGGAATAATACTGTATTTAGACTAGATAAACTTCCTTTCCTAAACAAAATCTTTATATTTGAGATAATATTTTATGCTCATTTGAAATGGCTAACTGAAAAGTAGCTTTAAAGATCTGCTGGTGAAACATTGTTTATTTGTTCATTTGTTCCTCTCTGCTTCAATTCTACATCTCTTTGATTATATTTCATTGCATAATGTATTTTGATAAAAACAGTTCCACATAATTATGCATGGACTGGATAAACAGGATTTGGGATTTATTTTAATCTGGATAAAAATCTTCAGTGTATGGAATAAGCATAATTTAAATCATATCCCTGTGGTATACCCTGGCAAAGTTAAATTACAAAATAATGATTTGCAAACTATATTGTTTTGTGAAAGAGCTCACCAGTCCCAAAGATTCAAAGATATATATATATTTTTAAAAACTATCCTGTTCTGTTTTTCCTAGACTCTCTTTGCCTTCTTTTCCTCTTCATTCCAATGTTATCAGTCCAGCTGATAATAGCATGCCTGTGATGCTTCTTGTAGAAAGATGACATACTTAGTGTTTGAGATCCTCTTTTAAGTTATGCATGTATTTTTAATACACATTCTTTCCATGGATCTTCTGTGCATCAGAATAGCTTTATGAAAGAAAGAAAGAAAGAAAGAAAGAAAGAAAGAAAGAAAGAAAGAAAGAAAGAAAGAAAGAAAGAAAGAAAGAAAGAGAGAGAAAGAAGGAAGTACAAAGAAAGAAGCAGAAAGAAAGAAAGGCATAGAAAGAAAGAATATGTTTAGCCATATGTACATGTTAACTTTTGAATGTGGAACAGGTAATTTTTGATTTGGATATGGTACCACGAAAGGAGGAAGCAAGTTAGCATTTTTATATATAAAATTAGAGAACCTTCTCCTGCAAGTATCTAGGCAAATGGTTTGTTTTCCACTTACGACTAGTCCTCTCAGCTTCAGTGACCATACAAGGCGAGCAAGGTGCACACCTAATTTTGAAGGTTCAGAACCAAGTGAAGAGTAGGTTTCATCATTCCTTTGGTAAGGCTTTCTTTAATGGAAAATTGGGCACTGGTCACTGAATGACTCCACCACAGTTGTCATAGTTGTTTTTTTTTCCCTGCTATAACCTCTTACAATCAAATGGATTCTGCCTCTACAGTTACTGCGGCAATGTCTTTAAACCAAATGATGGGAAAGAGAAATAAAATTTCAATAATAGCAAGGAAAACTTCCTTATAATATCAGAACAACAATCAAACTTAGAAGTGTTTGGAGCAAAAATTGGTTATACAAAAGGAATAGGTAATCACGTTGAAAAGTGGTACTGATGTCTGTATATGTGTCATGATGGAAATCATATGACATAGCATAAGCCTATCAAAAGCTATCTCAGATACAATTAATTGTAAAGTAGTTCTTTCATTTTCTGTAACAAAGTTAGCTAATAAACATGAGTGTCTATATTTAATGAGTACAGAAAAGAGGGTTTAATTTGAGAAAAGAAAGAGTTTCAATCTATTTACAAATTAACTGATCTTCTATTATTTTTTCACTGCATTATATTTTGTGGTCAAACAAGAGCAATTAACAGCTTCCTAACCACCACTGTGTTTCCAGAAATATATGATTTGTTCAGCTTCCAGCTACTCGAGATCTGAAAAACTTTTCTTTTGAAGCAAGTCAATGGTTTGAGAAGGTGAAGTCATTTCTGTCATTCTCCCCAAGCAGTGTAACATATGTCAGAGATCCCCTTTTAGATGTACGCAGAAACTGTAATAAGATTATAGATGAAGAATGATCTGCTGCAACTCAAGTAATTACAGCATAAAAGCCACACATGTCTGTGTCATGGCAATGACTGAAAACAAAAGATCCTACTCCTCATAAGGTTGGCATCCATCAAATCTCATTAAGAGCTGAATTAGCTCACCATTACCTGCTGCTTCTTTTTTCAACTATTTAAGGACCTTCTTCATATTGTGCTTAAAAAAAAAAAAAAAAAAGAAAAGAAAAAAGACTACTCTCCTCAATGAAGAAGAGGAATCACGTACTTCAAGTCAGTATCAGAAAAAAAAGTCCTTGGTTTACAAATAAAACAGAGTCTAAAAGTCTACCTGACTAAAGTCTATTCTTTTGCAAAGAGTTCAAAGAATATCTTTGACTGATGGATAGGACAGTTATATTTTAATATATTTTGGTAGTGAAAAGGAGAAAAACAACAAGCAAAATAAACAATACATAAGAGCAACTTGCACATGAGAGAGAAATTATGATTTTACTAGATGGAAAGAAACCAAACTCTAAGGAGGACAAAACACAACTGTTGGCATAAAAAGGTGCATAAAGAAAAAATTCTCCTTGAAGTAAATTCAGCTGTAGAGAAATTATGTAGAGGAAAATCAAAATAAAAGACCTTCTATGCTATTTTGCAGTGTAAGAGAAGCACTCCTCTCATTTGACACAAATCAAGACAATTTTTACACTACACACTTCATATCTGTTGTGGATCTGACATGATTTAAAGCTTAGGAAAAACATCTACTGGGATTATGCTGAAATTTGTTTCAATCATTCTTCTGCTATATTTGACTTTACCACTGTACTTTCGCGTTTTGGCATTTGGCCCTTTGTCACTGACACACAAATAAAAAAATAAAAGGAAATATGAGGATGTGACAGTATTTCCACATTTAATGACAAACAACTAATATCCCTTCTTCTATCTATCTTCTTTTTTGCTTCTGTTTGGATGCTTTTTAAACACATGGGTCACATAACTAATATACAGTGTTTGTGAAAGATAACAGTGTTTCAGAACTGAAGAGAGAAAATTCCAACATTGTTATGAAGCTTATCATTGATCCAACTGTAACAGTCTTGTCATTGACCCAAATATTTGATAGTTGTCTAAGGTCATCACATGTAGATATCTCCATCTCTACTGTCACAAACGCATCTGACACAAGTATCAGCATCGGCAAGTTGTCATCTTGAAAAAGAGCAGCTCGTACAGCTGGACTCCCTCTCCACTGACAAAAAACAACACTCTTCAACGCAATATGAATCACATCCCTACTCTCCTCACTAAACTTAATTGCTTATTGAACATAAATTTTTTTTTCTTTTATCTGAATGTCACTTTTGTCCGTGATAAGTATGGCAAATGAGTAAACCAACATTATTTGACATGGAGAAAGTTTCATTCCCAACAGGGAGAGAAGACTGGACTCTATAGCTATCAAGGATGGAGAACTGAAGCCTATGGTCACAAATTCATAATTGTTTTTATTTCTTTTGAAGGGAGATCTGGGAACCTGGAGGATTTTTTGCTACTTTCTTAAATTTTTTAGAAGATTTCAGTTTCTTAAAATCGTGAGTTCTGATTCTTTATTCTAATCATGAAAATACAGGAATTTTCTCATCAGGACACAACGGAGACACTGAGGAAATATTGAGTGTGAAAATCGAAACATGGCAGGAAAGAAAGGATCAATAAAAACTTAAACCTGTATAAATCTTTATTCAAAAGATTTAGTAATTTCAGATGAACCATCAAGCAGAATGCATTTTATAGAGTAATTCCTAGCATTATCATTTTCAATTAATTTTTTTTTGGGGGGGTGGGTGTGTAGGGTTCTGGAGTCATGCAAATTTGTGATTTTGGGGCTTTAATCTTTCAGAAAATAGTATTTTTGTTTTGTGATCACATTGAAGTCTGAGTCATTTAAAGACCTCACAACAAATCAAAAGTATTTTTGTGTTATTATTTTTCATCTAATCCCAGAATTTTGACAAACAAAAAAATGATTTTCTAATATTTAGAGTTGTCAGCATGTTTATGATTGGTATTTATTTTGATTCCGACACTATACACTATAAAGACATGATTTTCAGTAAGATTGTTCCTGTTCTATACAAAAATATGTCAGAATAAGATATTTCCATACAAACATAAGCTAAAAATTTACAAATATGAAATATTTCCATGAAGTCTAATGAATATTGGAAATGCACATGGAACCCTGGGTTAGCAAGATGTTGTTCATAGAGTATAATACAGAGCTGTTAGAAAGATGATTCTGTATCCGTACTAACTACTGGACCTGGATTAAATACCTCACTATGTGTAATGTGAGTGGCATGGTAAGCTCATTTTAGTAATACAGTATATAACAGCGTTTAATAAATTTGTCTTCAAATCAGCTTTGTTGGATTTCCAAACCTGTGTTAACGGAGTAATCTCCAAATCTGTTGGAAAACTGGTATTTGAGCACCTCTCTCCATTCTAGGCACTTGACAATTGAAATGTTGAAGTGGGAAATATTCTTCCTCTGTGATGTCTAACAACTTTTTTAGAATGTAAGCTCCATGGGGCAGGGATTTTTTCATCATGATGCTTGACCAGGAGCTACTGTACCTCAGATGCTTTTAACGTATAAGTAACTATTTACTAATACGCAACAATTTTAGAACAATTTCATAAAAAGTATAAGTTAATTATCAAAAGAACTTTTTCTTTAAATAAAATCCCAAAGTATCTTCAGAAATATAAACCAACAGACATGGTCTGCATGGCTTTTGCTTAATGGTAAAGTACAATCCTTTGATAAATGCAATAAATAGAAGCTGATGTGAAAAACTGAATACACTTATCCTAAGGCTGTTCTCCTGACATTCTAACAACTCAAATACATTTTCCTGTAAGTACCTCTGAATTTAAAATATGTTTCATATTTTACATCCTATAAAAATGGAGCTCTGCTAAATTACCTTCAAATAGGAGTATAACACAAAAATTACACTATAACACAATAATTCAAAATAGGACTTTTCTATTCACATATTAGATTACAATTTCAAAATAAACATCCACAACTTTTCTTTAAATGTCCCGTTGACCAGGCATATTTAGATACTAATTTCTCAATATCTTTCAGCAAGTTGCTACAACCCATATTATCTTTATTTCAACATAATTGTATTAAAATAAATAGAGTAATTGTATACCAAGCCATTTCTGATAATATGATAGATATTGAAAACAGAGGGAGGGGCACCATAGAAGCTTTTTTTTAATTTTTTTTTCTTTTGCTTGTTTGTGAATGCTGGCTTTTTTTGAGAATTTCCATGTGATAGTGTCCTTTAGTCATGATTTTCTTGTATAAATGTTTGTTATAACATTCTGTTGTATCCCAATATTGATTTCATTAACAATCAGAAACATTTCAGACTCTAATGTACTAATATTTCATTTGTAAATCACAGCTTGGCATGTGTGCACAGAAGCCTCACACTAGAAATGTGTTCATCTTCTCTATTAGCAAGGGCTAACAGTTACAAATATCTTTATGCAATAGAAGTGAGTGCACAGACCTTTATTGTGCTGAAATAAGAAGGAATCCATCAAGAAGGAAATGTATTTTATTTTATTTATTTTTTATGCCATACAGGCTTACATTTTTGTACAAGAAGAGTAAATAATTTAAACAGGAATGAATAAATAGACTGCTCTAATAACAAAAAGACACAATGCTTTCATACAGCTGGCACTGTCAATTCATATTGTATCCTTAGAAATCTGCAATACATGTGGCCAGTTCGCTTACACCTCTGGGGGAAATACACAATCCATTAACTTCATTAATAGGAGATACCAGGATTTAGCTGAAGCTTCATGTTAACGTCAGCCTCAATGCTGAGCACAATGCAGGTAGTCATGAGGTGGGCAAAGCTCCCCTTGAAGCCACTGGGAATATTTTGTGTTGACACTGAAAGCAGCACAGGTAGAGCACTCCTAAGTGGTTTACAAAAGCTCACATCTAATGATCAGGTTTAAGTAGCTTACTTTCTTTTTCTTCTAAACAAAATTAACATGTTGCCATGGTATACATGAGAAATCCTGTGGTCTACTGCAGCAAACTCCTGTTGTTCTGAACAACGGATGAGCAAGGACCATAGGAACTATCCCTGTGTTCATCTTCACTCATATAAACCTGCATAGCCCTATTGTTTCAGAGGGAGATGTTGGATTTTTTTCTGATAAAAATCTAAATCATACTCTTGCAAACAGATTATTTAATATTAAGATACTCTCTAGCTGAAAAATATCTCAGATAGCTCTTGTACTACAAATGTCATAGCTACTTCAGCAAAAAGTCATCTTATATTCAGGGTATTACTTTTTGTAATTAATACAAATTATTAGTCCAAACAGGTGTGATCCAGTGAAGATTCTTCTTTTATTAACTGTCTTATTTGTTATTTCACTGCAGTATATTCATTCATATACCTTGATAGTATTTTTTTACAAAAAAAGAAATTTTAATAACGATTTTTTTTACCACTACATTTGAACCCCATTAGTATTTGCATTGTATGAACTTTGCAATAAAGATTAAACCAGGCAGTTGTGTGAAATACTCAGACAGTCCCTAGGACCACCTCTGTTTATAAGTCACTTCCTTCTTTCTGGCCAGGAAGAAAACATTAAAGATTATATAAAGCAACTTTAATAGCATTCATGTGAAATCCTTATGCTTGTCTTTCCAGGTCCTGAAGGGGTTTCCAGAATGCTTACAAGCCGACATTTGTCTGCATCTCAACCAAAATTTGCTTCAGAATTGCAAAGCTTTCCGGGGAGCCAGTAAAGGCTGCCTTCGAGCTTTGGCTATGAAATTTAAGACAACACATGCACCTCCTGGAGACACTTTAGTGCACTGTGGAGATGTTCTCACTGCTCTTTACTTTGTGTCCAGGGGCTCCATTGAAATCCTTAAGAGTGACATTGTTGTGGCCATTCTTGGTAAGTAGTTTACTACAATGCATATTAAAAGAGACAGGGGACTGCAAATAAATGTCCATTGTAGTTCCTGAGGTAGGACATTTGTGAATCTTTTAGTCACTGTTATTTAAAATCAAGCCACTGCATAATTTGCTCAGGAGCAAAGTCTACAATACTTCAAGAATTCATGGAATTCACGGGACTGAAGAGTCCAAGATATCTAAAATCCCAAGACAATCCACCACTTCCAATATGTATTAATAAAAGTATTAATACATATAATGAATAAAAATACGTCAGAGGAGTCATATTACAAAGAAGGTGCTATATGCCTTGGATAGGGATGACTACATTCATAAGCATTAAGGCCAGAAGGGCTATTAGATTATCTTGGCTAGCCTCGGTTATATAACAGACTCCTGTTACATTTCATACCCTTAACTATCTGTTGTGTCTAATGAACTGTGTTCATTTAAAGCAAAATGTTCAGAAAAGCAATGAGTTCTGATCACAAGGCATAACAAGATGAAAAAGTGATCATTTTTCCTGGCAGTTTATTTCAATAGTTAATCATTTTTATTGTTAAAAATGTGATCGTTATTTCCAGTATGAAATTACCTTACTTCAGTTTCTTTCCATTGGTTCCCATTGTGCATTCCTCATTATATTCTGGAGGCTCTTAGCACCCAGTAATTTTTCCTCTCTATAAGGATGTGTGCAATAAAATCAAGTTAACCTGTTCATCTTCTTTTTGATAAACTAAACTGACTGCGTGTGATCTTTAAGATCCTCACTATAAGTCACCCCTCCAGCTCTTGAATTAGCCTTTGCACCTCTCAGCTGCTTGCTTGCCAAGTTTCAACTTCCTTTTTCAAAAAATTGGGAAGCTAGAACTGCTTGCAGGACTCTGGTATAAAAGCCACAACTGTGTCCTCCCTCACTGCTCTGACCACTAGTCTTCGCCATCAGTGCTTTCCAAGACAGAACCCTCTGGCTGTGCAGGTATATAGATGTATATTTATATAGGATAGTTTGCAGTCGTCTGTGTGGAGGGCTGCTCTGCATTTGAAGGTTATATATGAATATATACATATATATGAAGGTTAGGTGCACATTTTGGGAAAACAAGTAAAAGCACTTTTTTTTTTCCTGTACAGAAATAGACTCTTCTAAATTACTGAATTCTGTAACTCTGAAATACAGAAATTATACCTGTGTTGCCATAAGACTTAAATGAAAAAATAGTACTTTGAGAAGAAAGTACAGAGGAGACTGATCTAGATGTGCTTTCTTGGCAAAACTGAAGAAAAAATGTGACTAAGATATATGTTCCTTTCACTTAGTCCGATTAAATGCCTATGTAATTTCACTGATTCTAATAATACTACTTTGTTTTGCCCCAACCTATGTACAATAGTAATCAGATTGTACTGCTTTTTGTAAAATCAAATATTCTGCATCACTATCATAAAAAAATACATCATTCAATATAATGCCTTTTCTTATTTAATAATCTTATTTTATTTCCACAGGGAAAAACGATATCTTTGGAGAGATGGTACATCTTTATGCAAAACCAGGAAAGTCAAATGCAGATGTGAGAGCTTTAACATATTGTGACTTGCATAAGATCCAACGAGAGGACCTCCTAGAAGTCCTGGATATGTACCCTGAATTTTCTGATCTCTTCCTCACCAATCTAGAATTGACTTTTAATCTGAGAGATGAAAGCGCAAAGGTACATACAATAGTGTTGTTTTGTTTGTTTTTAATACTGGTCCTTACCAGTGGTCATAAAATATATCAAATAACAAAACTTGAAAATAGCAAGTGGAAAATCAAGGTCAGAAAAATTAAAAGCAAAAATCCTGAGGCCAAATCCTACTTAAAGAAAAAAATTTCCCTGATTGCTCCTACTAAAGTCAGTTAAAGTCAGCAGAAGTCAATGAAATGTTTCAGATAATGTTAATCTAAAAGGATTTGGTTCTATATTTAAACAGTATTAAAGTTTCAGCCACGGGGATTTTGAATGTTTTGTTTAAGCCATGGAAAATATGTTTTTTTCACTAAATGTGGCCATAACTTGGGTCACAGCAAGGGGAACTTTTGACCCTCAATATATTTGTACAATGATAAAACAAACATCAATCAGATTATCCAGATCCCTCCTCTGTGTAACCATACAGAATATTTAATTGCCTTTCAAAGCTAAATTTTTCTTATCTTGGACTGCACCCTATCTGTCAGGGGAATAAAAGCAGACAAGGAACATTTCGAAGTTCCACTCACCTTATACTCCTCTCTTTTCCATTTGTCGGGCATTTCTTGCCTCTTCTTCCCTCACTGACTTCCGTAAACATCCTCTTTTGCTCAGAATGTGCCTCCAAGAAAATAAAAAATACTGTATTAGGGCCTGCTTCTCTTAAACTTCTGGGTTCAGTCTGAATTGGAAAGAAGGGGGAGGTTGGCCAGGACCGGGGGGAACTGCTGGATACAGGAGAAAGGAAAGGCTATTGCCCAGCTAATGCTAAAGGGGCTCTGTCTCTATTAAGTTGGAAAGTACACTGGTGCTGGCCACCAAATATGGACTGAATGGGTGGTTTATATTTCATTATTTCTGAAAAACTGCCATTTTGTGGATTTATGCCCACAAAAAAAAAAAAAAAAAAAAAAAAAAAAAAACAGACATTCAGTGTGAAGGAAAAATGAAGAGAGATTCAGTAAGAAGGAACTAACATAATTTCACCTCAAAGACCTTCTGAGAAACAAGCAGACAAAGAACTGTAATCTTTCAGCTATAAGTGATGGGAGCAGCTTTGTTTATCATGTGTAGATGTTTAGTTAAAAACAGAAGTAACTACTACAGACGATAAATTTCAAATCTTTTGTGATGAGCCTTTTTTTTTATAAAAGATTGTTCTGAACATAAAAGGCCAGTTCTATCTTTATTTTAAAACTTATCATTTTGTGTTTGTTGAAAAGGTCATAGTTATTAATTATAAGTAAATATTATATGATGAATTTATACTGCAGTGATAAATTTAAGCTTAAGTTGAAACTTTTCCACATATTTGAAAAAATCTTTAAGGATAAATTCATATCAATGACTTTGGTCTTCTGAGCAATGGTCCTCTGAAATTATATTGTCATCAATGTTTTGTCATTATTTTTTCTTAAGATCAAGAGAAAATTGAAATGGATCTCCATCTATCTTTTGTGTTGTGATGCAGAATAAACAAAGACTCTCCTCCCTGCTAACGTCCATTACAATTTTTTTCCAGAGTTATTTCTTACTGCTGTAATAACTGGCAAGGAAATATGATTAGACTTTACAGAAACAAGGAGGGCAGGTTCACCCATGCCTCTGTATTTGCAGAATCATAGCTTTAACTAGCGGTTCCGTTTGACTTCTCCTGATACCATAATCCTCAAAATCTTCCCTAAAAAGTGATGAGTACATTCTGGTCTTTGTAGCATCGCTCAGATAACAATTTTTTATCTGATTAATAGGTACATCTGCCTGAACATCTGCTCTTGTCCTTTTTTTTTTCTACATAAACTACCTTCTTCACTTATTCTACCAGTGGGTGACCACTGAAGCATATTAACCACCAGAAATACAAGGAGGGGAATAGAGAAAGACAAAAACGTTTCCAACTCCTTTTCCTTGCCCTTCTCAGACATGCAAATCTGCTTACTTGCTAGGTATAGGAAATCTCATGGGGGAAGAGGGGAAGTAGGTTGAAGTCAATGCAGTGAATGTGTATGCAAAGAGCACAACTGGCATTTTATCTGCTTATTTGCACATTTTCTTGGTATTAAAATAAGCAGAAAGAAGAGCTAAATGCATCTCATTTATTATGACAACAGAAAGCACATCCATCTTCTAATACAATGGATAAAAAGAGACAATTGTATTGGGCTATGGAAATACTATCTAAATGAACTGAATGAGATAGGGAGGAAAGAAGGATCTAGAAACATGAAAATGATGAAGATTAAGTGTGTTGTGTTTATCAACCTCATAGTTATTAGGGTAAAATGTAACCCTTATAATCATTACCGTGTAATTGAACATCAAATCTAGTTACAATCAGTTACCATGTTACTGCCTGCAATAATACACATTCTCTGTGATAGGTTATTGGGGTTTTTTTTCTTTTTCATTTAACTTAGAGAAGTTTATTTAGCCCACATCTGTGAGATTTTCCAGAAACTGATAACATATGTCTGCATGTAAATTTATCTATCTCAATTCTTTACTTTTACCACATTGCCAAATTTACTCAATCTGTATGATCATTTTAATGCTAGCACTGAGAAGTAAAATAAGTGGAGGGGAAGAAAGGTTGATGCAGACTGACTTACTCTGAAGCTTGAACATGATTAACAGTCAATCACCTTTTGAAAACCTGCTCTCTTTAGATGGGACTAATCTGTCATTATGTTTCATATTTCATTAATCAAGTCTGACCTCGTAATAAGATCACAAACTACTAATGATTCGGATGGAGATAACTGCAAACTACGAAGACGGAAATTGTCCTTTCAAAGTGAAATAGAGAAAGGTAATTAACTTCGTTTCTTACATTAGACAGCACTGCTACATTATTCATTGGTATTTCACATGGTAATATTGGGTACATTAGAGTCTCATGTTGGCTATTACTGTAGCAGCTCTTGAGAATCCTGCTGAACAGCAAAAAACATTCTGTGCATTTTCCCCTATACAGCTATATATGACCGGAGGATATCAGCTTCACCTTTTCATAGCTTTACAGCTATTAGTGTACAATGTTCAAACATTCATCTACCTTGTTGCCCTTGAAATACATAAATATATACATAGTTGCATGCATGCTTATTGTCTCTTAAACAATAACCATTTCCTGAAAAAAAAAGAAATATAAATAAGATTTGGAACAGCTAGTTACGGAAGTGTTAACTTCAAAATACTCTGTTGAACTTCTGAAATTCATGCTAGGTAGTGTTTCTCCTGGAATTAAAATATTTTGTTTTCAGGACACAATAGATTCACCGTAGTCAGATTTTGGTTCATTTGGCAATGTGTAGATGGTTGTCCTGGCAAGAGTTCAGGAAACATTTTCTATGCTTATCTTACAGGCTTTGGGGAGCAATCCAACTGAAAGGAAACTTCAGTGAAATATTAAATCATGTCACCAGAATTCAGCACACCTAAATACCAGGGACTGTAGATAATAGCTGTGGTCAGACAGCAATAATCATGAAGACAGCTAAATTGACACTCATAAGTTTTTCAATAATTTTATACTTTTATGGCCAAATGGTTTGATGGACAAATTACTGTTCCTGCTATGCCTGTCTTTCATACTCCTTAGTTAAACCCTGATCCAATGTTCAACACAATTTCAGAGTCACAGAACAGCTGATAATAAATGAGAACACTTTTAAAGGTACAAAGCAGGTACAATGGTGGATGAAGGAAAGCTTTAATGAAGAATGTGACTTCTCAGAACAATGACATTGTCATTTGATCAAAGAAGCATCTTTAGGGCAGGAAGCCAAGAGTGACAACAAATCTGTCAGGAAAATGTCCCCATGAAATATTCAATTTGCTGTTCACAAAGGATCTGTTGACAGACGTGCCTTGCCTGAATAACATTTCTTATGAGAAAACATAAGCTGCCACCTAGACAAGATTGAAGTGATCTTCCATGCTGGGCTTGCTGCAGAGTTACAAATAGGCTGCTCAGGTGTGAATGTGGTGCCAACCTTCCCTCCTCACCCTGCCTTGGCTTTTATGGTTCTTGTCCACTAGATCACACTGAACAGCCTCTTGGTGACATTTATTTACATTACTTTCAAATGGAAATAATTTTCCAGAGATTTGTCTTTGCAAAAATCTTGGCCATTGTGGAATTAAAAATGAGACTGACTGACAAGTATGTCCTTCATCCTGGTGCTCATTGTTTAGTATCTGGTAGCCTTTGAATTAGACAGGACTGAGGTACATTGCTAGCCCATTGCTAGTCCATCTCTCTCGAGAGGAAAAGATGCAGTCATGAAGAGTGATTAAAGTACAATTTTAGCTCGCTGGTTTAAAGCCTCTCCCTGGTCCCTGTTCTCTGTTTATTTCCTGTTTACTGGCATTTGCTAAGTTTGAGCTCCTTCTATGTGACTATTCTGTGTCCCATCCCGTATGAGGTTATAGACTACCAGAGGTTACCACTGTGTTGGACTGTTCCATTTCAACATATTAAACATATTAAACACATTAAAAAGGAAGCTATTTTGATACATTGTAAGTAAGCTATAATTGATAAATATTTGGGGATGATCCTGCAGAGAGTCTCAGAAGAAGCAGAGTAGTAAGGACCGAGTCCCTGATCACCTAAGTGGCAAAGGTATTTCTGGTCATAATATTCAGATTTTAAAAACTCTCATATGCTAGCTTTTAACAAATGTATTTTGACTTCAGAACTCTGATTTTGAAGCCTATAGACACCTAATATTCTTACTTTTAGGTCATGACATTTTACAGCTCTCTAAATTTTTATAGATTTCTAGTTATTTGGTTTCTGGTATGCTATAGCAGTTACATTTGTATCACTATAATCAAAATCTTACAGATACGATATTTCTTTTCCTTATAAAATGGTATTCCTGCTAACAATTTTTACCTTCATTCATCAACCTGCTAACGCATTACACAGCTCCGGATTGTACTGTTTCCCTCTTCAGTGTGATCACGAGAGATTTTTTCCCGTTCGGAGAGCTAAAAATGGGACTGTGTTATCTCAGCCTTTAGTTCATGCTAGTCTGATTTGGGCCGCGTTGCCATGGCAACTCGTCCTGCAGGAGTTTTCCTGGGGGTTAAACAAAGCCAAGGCAGCTCCCTGGTTCGCAGCCCAGGTTAGTACCCCTTCTTTCCCAGCTCCAAGGAAGGCTTTTTCACTCCACCTGTGTACATTCTCACACTTCTTACCTGTGTCAGCACAAATTTCTCTGAGCTGGTGTACTGACCTCTCTTCAAGGGCCTGTGGGGTGCAAGGCTGCCTGAGGGGCCAGCTTTCTCTCTGGTTTCCAGAAAGGATTACAGTACTGTCAGAGGGTTCCTGTAAACATTATCAGGTACACTACGTACCAGCTTCTATCTCCTCCTGCCCAAGAGATTCATTGCAGGTCTTGTGAAATAACGGATGATATTCCTTGCACAGGTGCAGGTGCAGCTTTAGCCAGTTGCCGTAACTGCTGGAAGAAAGCCAGTAACTTTGTAACTGCTTGAATTAGGCAGTACTCTTGAACGATGCTTCCAAACGAAGCTTTCAGCAGGGTCTTCACTAATAACTGAGGGACAATTTGCTGCTTCATCTACATTCAGTTGCCTTTTTTCAGCAGTGCAGGACACAATCCTCTTTTCCCTTTTCCTTCAGCCATTCTCTGAGAGTTAGGTCAGTTCACGAGTGATATATAGGGGCAAGAGTTTTGTTAGTTCCTGTAGTTCCGAATACAGATCTCTTTTTCCATGATGAACAGGCCATCATTAGAACTGATTGCAAAAGCATGAGTTCCAAATATATAGGTGAAAAAAATACAGAGTCACAGTCAGAACATCACCAAAAAAACAATGAGATGAGAGCTTTGAAAAGGCTTACTGGAATTCAAGCAGTATTATTTTTGCTAACATTTTGTTTAACTTTTTGTTAGTGTCATCTCTAGAAATGTCCCTTCCTTGGGACTGTTTCACTGCCCAGTTTTCCTCTTGAAAAGGTATTCTTTTCATTTATATTTTATTCTTATGATCCTTAACTGAAGACTATCAAAGCTCTGGGTCTGTTCTAAGTACTCACATAATTCTTGTCAAACTCTAGAGACATGAACTCTGACTCAGGAGAAAGCTGATCTGGGATACACAGGTTATCTAGTCAAATCATAACCTTTTGTCTTTTGACAGAATATATAAAATCCTTCCATCTTATCCCAGATAATTAAAATGCTGGCTAAGTCCATGCAGACATCCTAACTGGGAAGGTAACGATGAACTCATTGAAATAAATCCTTACCCTGGATTTTCATCTGTAATCCCAAGACAAGAACATCATCCATAGACTCTAGCTAAGAGGATAATAAGAACCCCCATGGAATTATATTGTTATATTAGTAACCGTGAATTCAGTTAACAGGTAATACCTGATCTTTAACTCCCTTGTCTGCTGGTCAGGGAACTGATAACAAGGAATTTTCATTTCCTTGGATGTGATTTTAAAAGTCCACTAGAAAAAAAATAGTTTTTATGAAATCCCAGTACTGAGTTCTTTAAATACACTTGCCTTTTTGACATAGACCACAACAATCAAATAGGCTATAAAAAGCATTTTACAATGTTTAGTTTTAAGCATACTGTTAAACACATGAGCTTAAATGGGTACTAGATCTTAATTTAAAGTCCAGACCAGACTTTCCCCAAACTCTCTACTTATCTATTCTCAGTGCAACCACAGAAGCCAGAGCTCTAAGCTTTTAGCTGAATCTTCATTAGCACAACTATCTTGAATGTGTTTGGTATGTAGGGAGTACCCATGCAAAGAGGCCGAGCCTTCCCAACATAGCATTATTACACAAAGTATCCAGAGCCCATGGCTGACAATACAGAACACAAGGGAAGTTTGAGGGAGCTGATTTCTCCTGAAATGAGATTAAGCAGTTCTGAGAGTCTGGGAAAAAAAAAAAAAAAAAAAAATCTGGCTTTATTTACATGGCAGCTACCCCACTTTCTCCCATCCTTCTTCCCTTAACCAAGTTTGTATTTTTAAATGCATATTTTGGGAACAGATGATACAGTCAATCACTGTAGGTCATGTCCCCAGAAAGAAAATAGAAGAATCAGCAAAAAAGAAATGAAGCTCCTGCTTAACCCTGTTAGAACATTGGTATTATGCTAATGAAGCCTATTTGGGTTTTACTAGAAAAGAGTTTTAATATTCACTCTGTCCTTTATTTAACTGGCTAGGTTAAAATAATCTAGGCAGGCAGCATACGACTAGAATCACGATTGCATGTCCCTAAATCTTACCTTCAGCATGAAACTGCTGACAAAAAGTTTATGGTCATCGGAGAGCCTATCAGTGCAGTTTTCCATCTGCTCCTATTATCGTTACTGCTGTTACCACAGTGCCTCGGAGTCACCTCAGGGAGCTTCTACAAGAGTCTTGTTTCCAGGAGTCACTCCCAGGGAGCCTGTTTCCAGAGGCCACATCGGATAGGAATGGTGTATGCAGTCAAATATACCAGTAGCCATCCTGTGAAAAAAAAGTAAAAAGAATCTTAGTGTGAAAACTAGGTTTCTCATAAAAGAAAGGATTTCTAAACTTGATAGCAGTGCTTTGGTGTTTACTCTGCATACCTTTCAAAATGCATATTTATATTTCAGTACTTCTAATTTATAAGCATGTCATTATTTCCTTGCCAAAAATTGTTCTTACATTATTATCTAATTAACAGCAAAGTTGATACAAAATCAAACAGAGCAAAGAAAAAGAGAAACGGCTATCACTTGCTCCCTACCTTAGTTCATTGTACAAAGGAA